ACTCCTGTTCCCATTATCCCAGGGGTCTCTCTCGTTATCCCTGGGGGTCTCACCTGTCCCAGGTGTGTCTCCCCTGTCCCCCCGCAGCCTCCACAGCCCGTCACCTGTACCTGCAGGGCGGGGTCACTCCTGTTCCCCTTATCCCAGGGGTCTCTCTCGTTATCCCTGGGGGTCTCTCCTGTCCCAGGTGTGTCTCCCCTGTCCCCCCGCAGCCTCCACAGCCCGTCACCTGTACCTGCAGGGCGGGGTCACTCCTGTTCCCCTTATCCCAGGGGTCTCTCTGGTTTCCTGGGGGTCTCACCTGTCCCAGGTGTGTCCCAGGTGTGTCTCACCTGTGTCTCACCTGTCTCACCTGTCCTCCCTCAGCCTCCACGGCGCGTCACCTGTACCTGCGGGGTGGGGCGGGCGTGGGCTCCATGGCCAAGGTGTACGGCGGCCGGCAGCGCCGCGGCGTCCGGCCCAGCCACTTCAGCCGCGGCTCGGGCGCCGTGGCCAGGGGGTTTTGGGGGTTTTGTGCGAAAAACGGGGGTTTTGGGGTGAAAAACTGTGGTTTTGGGGGTTTTTGGGAGGTTCTGTGGTCCAGAGGGTGCTGGAGGGACTCAGGGTGGTGGAGAAGGACCAGGACGGGTCAGTTTGGGGCTAAAAACGGGGATTTTGGGGGTTTTGTGCGAAAACAGGGGATTTGGGGTGAAAAACGGGGGTTTTGGGGGTGAAAAACAGGGATTTGGGTGATTTTGGGAGGCACTGTGGACCAGAGGGTGCTGCAGGCCCTGGAGGCGCTTAAGGTGGTGGAGAAGGACCAGGACGGGTCAGTCTGGGGCTAAAAACGGGGATTTGGGGGTGAAAAACGGGGATTTTGGGGGTTTTGTGGGAAAAACGGGGGGTTTGGGGTGAAAAACGGGCATTTTGGGGCAGTTTGGGGTGAAAAACAGGGATTTTGGGAGGCTCTGTGGTCCAGAGGGTGCTGCAGGCCCTGGAGACGCTCAAGGTGGTGGAGAAGGACCAGGATGGGTCAGTTTGGGGCTAAAAACGGGGATTTTGGGGTTTTTGTGGGAAAAACGGGGGGTTTGGGGTGGAAAACGGCGATTTGGGGAGTTTTCTGGAAAAAAACTGGGATTTTGGGACTAAAACTGGGGAATTTGGGGTGAAAAATTGGGATTTTGGGGTTTTTGTCTGTTTGGTTTTTGGTCACTTGCCCAGTTTTTACGATTTCTTCCCCATTTTTACCCTTTTTCCCCATTTTTTCCCCGTTTTTCCCCACCCAGGGGCCGGAAGTTGACTCCACAGGGGCAGCGGGACCTGGATCGCATTGCTGGGCAGGTGAGCCCTGGGCTTTTCCAGAATTTTCCCTCAAATTCATCTGAATTTGGGCAATTTTAAACTATTTTCCCTCAAATTCAGCTGAATTTGGGTAATTTTAACCACTTTTCCCTCAAATTTGGTTGAATTTGGGCCAATTTTAACCAATTTTCTCTCAAATTTGGGGAAATTTTAACCAATTTCTCCACATTTTCCCTCAAATTCAGCTGAATTTGGGTAATTTTAACCACTTTTCCCTCAAATTTGGTTGAATTTGGGCCAATTTTCTCTCAAATTTGGGGAAATTTTAACCAATTTCTCCACATTTTCCCTCAAATTCAGCTGAATTTGCGGCAAATTTAACCAATTTCCCCTCAAATTCAAGCAATTTTAACCAATTTCCCCCTATTTTATCTCAAATTTGAGCATTTTAACCAATTTCCCCCTGTTTTATCTCAAATTTGAGCATTTTAACCAATTTCCCCCCATTTTTCCTCTCCAGGTCGCCGCCGCCAGCAAGAAGCACTGAGGGAGCCAATAAATCATTTCCCCCCCAGACTCGAGTGTGTTTTTGAGGAAAAAACGCCCAAAATTGGTTAAATCACCCCAAAATAGCGCCCAGCAACCTAAGGGGGGGAAGCTGAAATGGTGGGAGAAAATTTGGAGTGAAAAGAGCAAAAAATTACAGCGAAAACAGCAGAAAACTGTAAAAAAATGCATTAAAAAGCGCAAAGGTTTTTCAGAAATCGCCCCAAAAATGTCATTTAGGGTTCCCAAAATAAAACAAAATGTCCCAAAATTGTGGGAAAAGTTTTCAAAGGATGACAATTCCATGAAAGGTTTAAAAGAAAAATCCTTATTAGTACAGAATTCCAAAATAAATACGGATTTTTAGTTTGAAATTAGAGGGTTTAGCCCAAATTGGATGTCACACCTGCAGTTGAAAAATAAATTTATTAAACCCCAAATCTTCCTTATTTTGGGGTAGTTTTGATTCCTGGTACCCCCAGCCTCCAATTCCAGCAACTTTGGCAGGAGATAAGTGGAAAAAAAGCAACTTTTGTCCCAAAATGTCAATTTTTAGCAGCAAGTGATGAGTTTTACAGATAAAGGGGCTGAGTCTGGGCTGAAAACAGATTTGGAAAAAGGAATGTGGAGTTTTTTTAGACGTTTTTGTGGGAATTTTGGGTTCAAACCACCTAAAATTGGTGTTTATTCCACTTACCCTCATTCTGTCCTTGCTTCCATCGCTGTCCTGGGAGACTCCAGCATTGGAAAAAGGAAATAATTTCCCCTTTTCCCTTAATTTCACCTCATGAAATGTGCTTTTATTTCAGAAAACATTGTTTTCCCCTCAGAAAATCAGGGTTTTCCCCAGAAACCTGTGATTACAAAATCAGAATTCGTCCCGAAAAAAAGTTTTCCCTCAGAAAAAAAGATTTGAAAAGGAAATAATTTCCCCTTTTCCCTTAATTTCACCTCATGAAATGTGCTTTTATTTCAGAAAACATTGTTTTCCCCTCAGAAAATCAGGGTTTTCCCCAGAAACCTGTGATTTTTACCTTACAAAATCAGAATTCGTCCCGAAAAAAAGTTTTCCCTCAGAAAAAAAGATTTGCCTCAGAAAACGAAGGTTTTCCATTTAAAAAGAATTCTGGCCCCAAAACCGGTGATTTTTACCTCACTGAATCACTGAAAATGAGGTTTTGTCTCGGGAAAAAAGACAAGTTTACCTCAGAAAACGAAGGTTTTCCATTAAAAAATACCTGGACCCAAAACCAGTGACTTTTATCTCACTGAATCACTGAAAATGAGGTTTTCTCTCGGGAAAAAAGATAGGTTTACCTCAGAAAACGACGGTTTTCCATTCAAAAAGACCCTCTGGCCCCAAAACAGGTGATTTTTACCTCAGAAATCCAAATTTTTACCTCAGAAAAAGATTTTTTCCCCTAAAAAGCGCAAAGGTTTTTCAGAAATCGCCCCAAAAATGTCATTTAGGGTTCCCAAAATAAAACAAAATGTCCCAAAATTGTGGGAAAAGTTTTCAAAGGATGACAATTCCATGAAAGGTTTAAAAGAAAAATCCTTATTAGTACAGAATTCCAAAATAAATACGGATTTTTAGTTTGAAATTAGAGGGTTTAGCCCAAATTGGATGTCACACCTGCAGTTGAAAAATAAATTTATTAAACCCCAAATCTTCCTTATTTTGGGGTAGTTTTGATTCCTGGTACCCCCAGCCTCCAATTCCAGCAACTTTGGCAGGAGATAAGTGGAAAAAAAGCAACTTTTGTCCCAAAATGTCAATTTTTAGCAGCAAGTGATGAGTTTTACAGATAAAGGGGCTGAGTCTGGGCTGAAAACAGATTTGGAAAAAGGAATGTGGAGTTTTTTTAGACGTTTTTGTGGGAATTTTGGGTTCAAACCACCTAAAATTGGTGTTTATTCCACTTACCCTCATTCTGTCCTTGCTTCCATCGCTGTCCTGGGAGACTCCAGCATTGGAAAAAGGAAATAATTTCCCCTTTTCCCTTAATTTCACCTCATGAAATGTGCTTTTATTTCAGAAAACATTGTTTTCCCCTCAGAAAATCAGGGTTTTCCCCAGAAACCTGTGATTTTTACCTTACAAAATCAGAATTCTGCCTGAAAAAAAAAAATTCCCTCAGAAAAATAGATTTGCCTCAGGAAATGATGGTTTTCAGTAAAACACCTGTCCCCAAAACTGGTGATTTTCACCTCACTGAATCAGTGAAAATGAGGTTTTCTCTCAGAAAAAAAGAGATGTTTTCCTCAGAAAACGACGGTTTTCCACAAAAAAAACCCTGGCCCCAAAACCGGTGATTTTTACCTCACTGAATCACTGAAAATGAGGTTTTCTCTCGGGAAAAAAGATATGTTTACCTCAGAAAACGAAGGTTTTCCATTTAAAAACACCTTCTGGCGCTAAACCCGATGATTTTTACCTCAGAAATCCAAATTTGTACCTCAGAAAAAGATTTTTCCCCTCGCGGAGCGGCGGCTCCCCTCAGGGACTGCGGCGAGGGGGCGGGGCCGAGGGGCGAACGGCGGGCTCTGATTGGTGGGCGCGGCGGGAGGGGGCGTGGCCGCGCAAAGGGCGGGAAAAGCGCTGAGGGAGCCGCAGGGCCGCGGCCGCCATTTTGTCCGCGGCGCCTCAGGAGGAGGCGGCGGCGGCTCCGGGAGCGGCTTTGAGCGGCTCACTGAATCACTGAAAATGAGGTTTTCTCTCGGGAAAAAAGATAGGTTTACCTCAGAAAACGACGGTTTTCCATTCAAAAAGACCCTCTGGCCCCAAAACAGGTGATTTTTACCTCAGAAATCCAAATTTTTACCTCAGAAAAAGATTTTTTCCCCTCGCGGAGCGGCGGCTCCCCTCAGGGACTGCGGCGAGGGGGCGGGGCCGAGGGGCGAACGGCGGGCTCTGATTGGTGGGCGCGGCGGGAGGGGGCGTGGCCGCGCAAAGGGCGGGAAAAGCGCTGAGGGAGCCGCAGGGCCGCGGCCGCCATTTTGTCCGCGGCGCCTCAGGAGGAGGCGGCGGCGGCTCCGGGAGCGGCTTTGAGCGGCAAATCCCCGTTCCTGCCGCCGCCCGCCCGCCCTGCCACACCGCTGGGCATCGCCGCTACGCGCTCCGGGCGTCCTGGCAGCGGTTTGAGCACGCCCCGGGTGGGTTTGCCCTCAGGATGTGGGTGAGAGCCCGCGCCCGCCCTGTGGTGCGCGGCTGCGGCTTGAGGCCGTCAGCGCTTCCCTCACGGAGGTGTCACCGCCTCAAAGGTGTCACCGCCTCAAAGGTGTCACCGCCTCAAAGGTGTCACCGCCTCAAAGGTGTCACCACCTTCCACCCAAGCCTCGGGCGGCGGCCGGGCCGGTTGTGCCGCTCCCGCCCTGTTCCCTCAGCCGGGATCCCCTCAGGGCAAAGGGCGCGTTCATCTTCATCATTTTCATCATCACCATCATCATCCTCTGCTGTTCTTCCAATGTCATCCGCCAAAGAGCTCCGGGAGAGACTCAGCTCATCCCCACCGCGGAATTCGGCAGTAAAAATGCAGAAATTGGAGGTGGAGTGGTTTTGTGTCTTGTCCCCAGCACTTCAGTCCCTGCGTCCCCCAAACCCCTCGATTTTAACCCAAATTTGGCCCTGTTTATTCCACATTTGGCCCCGTTTATTCCCATTTTATATCCATTTTTGTTCTATTTAGCCTAAATTTGGCCCCGTTTAGCCCCATTTTAACCATTTAAGTTGTGTATCAGTCATGTCTTGGCAATTCCAGCCATGTCTTGGCCCATTTTTGCCCAAATTTGTTCCCATTTTTGCCCAAATTTGTTCCCATTTTGCCCAAATTTGTTCCCATTTCCCCCTAATTTCCTCCTTGCTTAGCCCCAGTTTAATTTAATTCACTCCCATTCTGGCCATTTCAGCCCCTTTTTGTCTCTGGCCCTGTTTTTGTTGTGCTTTGTCCCATTTTCCCCATTTTTAGCCTCATTTTGTCCCTTTTAGCCCCGCTCTGACGCCCTTTAGCCCCCTTTTGACCACTTTATTCCCATTTTATTCCCATTTTATCCCCTTTTCCCCCATTTTATCCTCTTTCCCCCCATTTTATCCCCCTTTCCCCCCATTTTATCCCCCTTTTTCCACATTTTATCCCCCTTTTTCCCCAAAAAAAAACCGGCTCTGAAAACCCCCCAAAAATCGGCAAAAAAATCCCAAAAATTTCTAAATAAAATCCCTAAAGATCCTGACCCCACTCGCGACCCCTCCCCAAATTCCCCGGGCCCCAGAAAAGCCCCCAGACCCAAAAAAAAAACCGGCTCTGAAAACCCCCCAAAAATCGGCAAAAAAACCCCAAAAAATCGGCAAAAAATTTTTAAAAAATTCCCTAAAATTCTGACCCCTCTCGCGACCCCTCCCCAAATTCCCTGAACCCTACAAAAAGCCCCCAGACCCAAAAAACCCCGCGGTCTTAAAAACCCCTTAAAATTGGCAAAAAAAAATCCCCAAAAAATCCTAAAAATTCGCAAAAAAATCCCCAAAAATCTCCACGGTTGCGACCCCTCCCCAAATTCCCGGGGCCCCCGGAAACCCCCAGACCCAAAAAAACCCGGCCCGAAAAAAACCCCAAAAAAATCGGCAAAAAAATCCCCAAAAATCGGCAAAAAATCGCAAAAAAATCCTAGAAAAAATAACAAAAAAATCTAAAATAATTCCCGACCCCTCCCCAAGTTCCCGGGGCCCCCGGAACCCCCAGACCCAAAAAAACCCGGCCCGAAAAAAACCCCAAAAAAATCGGCAAAAAAATCCCCAAAAATCGGCAAAAAATCGCAAAAAAATCCTAGAAAAAATAACAAAAAAATCTAAAATAATTCCCGACCCCTCCCCAAGTTCCCGGGGCCCCCGGAACCCCCAGACCCAAAAAAACCCGGCCCGAAAAAAACCCCAAAAAAATCGGCAAAAAAATCCCCAAAAATCGGCAAAAAATCGCAAAAAAATCCTAGAAAAAATAACAAAAAAATCTAAAATAATTCCCGACCCCTCCCCAAATTCCCGGGGCCCCCGGAACCCCCAGACCCAAAAAAACCCGGCCCTGAAAAACCCCCCAAAAATCGGCAAAAAAATCCCCAAAAAATCGGCAAAAAATCGCAAAAATTTCTAAATAAAATCCCTAAAAATCCTGACCCCACTCGCGACCCCTCCCCAAATTCCCCGGGCCCCAGAAAAGCCCCCAGACCCAAAAAAAAAAGGCTCTGAAAACCCCCCAAAAATCGGCAAAAAAATCCCAAAAATTTCTAAATAAAATCCCTAAAGATCCTGACCCCACTCGCGACCCCTCCCCAAATTCCCCGGGCCCCAGAAAAGCCCCCAGACCCAAAAAAAAAAGGCTCTCTGAAAACCCCCCAAAAATCGGTAAAAAAACCCAAAAA